AGTCACTATCTTCCAGGCTCTGGGTTTGACAATGGCTATTTGTTATGAGTACAGATGAACAGAAAGGGTAGGAACTATATATACTCATATTTTATATTTCTATGTTATGTAGAGCATACTTAAAGTGCATTACAAAGTTGTCTTTTCTCACACATAATCACATTTTCTAAAATATGCTCCACCTTGAAAATGTATTGCTCCATACACAATAAATGCTGTGGAATCCGATGACTGCACAGCTTTCTAATTTCCTGTTGTCCTATATACTTCATATCCTGTCTTGAACACACACACACACACACACACACACACGCTGTTCATGAAGTCAGCTGAAATAACTCATACAGCCAAAGATCTAGAATCTAGATCAATTTGGAATTCAATCTTAATGTTCAATGAACGTGAGTGATCAACAAATGCTCAACGGCAGCAGATCCACCCTGCCCACCCCCACTGGCCCCAAAGCAACCATCCTGGCTGCTTCCTGGGCATCGGCATTTCTTGGTTCAGCACTTATCACAGAATATTTGAATAATGATCTTCATACTTATCCATATCTAAACAAGACTGCAAACTCCTTTTTAAGAGGCCAGTGTGGATCTCCTTCTTTCTCTGAGCCTCAGCTAGCATAGCACCGGGCACATGGTGTTTAGTATATGTATATTTTTAAATAAATAAACTCATTTTATTACAAGGATAGTGAGATACTAATTTCTACCAGCAATCTCAGGGAAAGGCTGGAATTCTTTGGGGTGTATATAGACATGTATGTATGTATACATGTGGTAGGGGAGCTGGTTTTATGTGTAGGAAACTGCCTAATTTAAGCCCTCTAGAGGAGAGGAGATAAATGTATGATTGTGCATAAGAACTTTCCCCAGGACCCTCCCAAATAAGTAGCTGGATGTCTGAACTTCTATCATTAGAAAGGCAAACCTTTGGATTACATATGGCTCCCTATCAATGTATCTTGAATCCATGTGCCCTTGTTATTACATAAGTTATCACATTAGTTTCAAAACTTAAATATCTTCAGTATCTGATGTCTAGCCTCAAATCATACACTCCCACACCCACTCACCTCCTAATTCCCACCCCCCCCCATGAGAATCTGAAATAGACCCCTGCTAACTTTTTGTAGCTTACATTAGAAAGTGGTTTGTTTATTCATCTCTTAAAATAGGTATATATCAAATAATCTCTTTCAAGCCATATATACCATAATGTATACAAGAGAGGAAAACACATCAATTTGAGTAACTCAATGAGTTCATAATGATACTAAAAATAAAAACAAACACTTGATTAATCACCATTAGAAAATAGCGAATTGACTCCTTGTGTTGAAAATTTGTAAATGGAGAAAATCAACCATTTATTCTGCCTTTCCTATATAAATTGTACCCCTGTGTAGCCAAAGTTTAGATAAGGGAGAAGTTTGTCTTCATAGAAATAGTTTAGCAAGGGAGTGAGGAAGAAATAACAGAACTAGGATATCACCCCTGTGATAGAATTGGAATGCAATCTCTAATGAATTAATAAATTTAGACATTAAGCACTAATGGCTGGTAGCATCACAAATAATAGAAAATCACATTATATGCCTCCTGTAGGAAGTATAAAACACTAACTATAATGACGTCTGATCAAAGTTCTAGACTCAGCAACCTATCGGCAAGAAATATAAGAACAGCAGAAGACATTAAACCAACAAAGTGTAAAGAAAAAAAAGGATGGCATTTATGAAACAATGAGAAATTTAAATAAATTAGGTACATAATGTTATTAAATAATGGTTATCATTTTAGGTGAAATACTTTGGTGGCTGTTTTTATTTTATTTATTTATTTATTATTATTATTTTTTTTTACAAATAGTTTATTGTCAAGTTGGTTTCCATATAACACCCAGTGCTCATCCCCACAAGTGCATTGGTGGCTGTTTTTAAAGAAAGAATCCTTATCTTGTCAAAATGCATACTAAAATATTTACAGATGAAATAATATGATGTCTGGGATTTGCTTCAAAAATAATGTGGGGGAAAATAAAAAAAAATAATGTGGGGCTGGGGAGGTCAGAGGCAATGGACGGGTGCATGTATGAAATAAGATGTCCTTGTGTTGGCTAGTATCCAAAATCTATAAGGAACTCACCAAACTCCACACCCAAAAAACAAACAATCCAGTGAAGAAATGGGCAGAATATATGAACAGACACTTCTCCAAAGAGGACATTCAGATGGCCAACAGACACATGAAATGATGCTCAGCATCCCTCCTCATCAGGGAAATACAAATCAAAACCACACTGAGATACCACCTCACGCCAGTCAGAGTGGCTAAAATGAGCAATTCAGAGTACTCTAGATGCTGGCGAGGATGTGGAGAAATGGGCACCCTCCTACACTGTTGGTGGGAATGTAAACTGGTGCAGCCCCTCTGGAAAACAGTGTGGAGGTTCCTCAAAAAATTAACAATAGAAGTCCCTTATGACCCAGCAATAGCACTGCTATGAATTTTCCCAAGGGATACAGGAGTGCTGATGCATAGGGCACATATACCCCAATGTTCATAGCAGCACTCTCCACAATAGCTAAAACATGGAAAGAGTCTAAGTGTCCATCAACAGACGAATGGATCAAGAAGGTGTGGTCTATCTATACAATGGAATACTACATGGCAATGAGAAAGAATGAAATCTGGCCATGTGTAGCAACATGGATGGACCTTGAGGGTGTTACGCTGAGCTAAATAAGTCAGGCAGAGAAGAACAGATATCATATGTTTCCACATATAGGAGGATTAGGAGGAACTTAATGGAGGACCGTGGGGGAGAAGAAGCAGGGAAATACTGGGGGAGAGGGAGAGAGGCAAACCATGAGAGACTCTTGAGTGCTGAGAACAACTGAGGGCTGGGAGGGGTGGGGGAGAGGGGAAGGGGGGTGATAGGCATGGAGGAGGGCACTTGTGGGGATGAGCACTGGGTGTTATATGGAAACCAACTTGACAAACTATTTAAAAAAAAATAGATGGCCTTGTGTTGGCAATTGTTGAAGCTGAGAAATGAGGTACGTGGGAGTGCATTATACCATTTTGTCTGCTTTTGTATAGACTTGAAATTTATCAAAGAGAAAGTTTTTTTCTTTTAAAGGTGTTAACCTTCCTAAATATTCTGATATTCTTGTCCTGAGGGACAGCCATTTCTCTCCCACCTTTTGAGATCATTATCCTAGGGAGTGTCTGGGGAATTGCAAATATCCTGGGAAAAGTTACGTTAATCCATTAATCTCCACACTACTTAAAAGATTATTTCCTGAAATGTCTTTACCCTGAAAATACTGAATGCCTTAGGATAAACGTTAGAGAAAACCTTGGAGGAGGGAAAAGTAAAGGCTGAGTGTGGGAAGAAGAAAGGAGAAAAAATTTGGCCTTTATTACGATTTTCCCAAAGCCTTCACTAGTTGGCTCATGCATCTTCTTTGTGTGGGTTTTTACTAGGAGAACTTTCACTGGAGGCATGAAAAAAATGTTTAAATTTTGGATTCTCAAGTTAAAATTTCACAAAGGGTCCCCTTTTACGTTGTTAAAAGCTAGTATATTTTTAGGATAAGACGGAGTCTTTTTTCATTGTCTAGTGAGCCAGTGATGAGACTGTTTGGGTGGGGCGAGGCACAATTTTGCCTGAACCCGAGAACAGTCTAGACCTGTCCACAAGACCACAAGGATGTGGAAACCAGGAGACAGTATGGAGTCATCTCAACTGCTCCAGAGTATACCTTTTTATAGAAGATCTCTGGAAGAACACCAAGAAACAGGTTGCCGCTGGGGAGAGAAGCTGGAGCACTCTGGACAGGGTGGGAGGGAAAATAAAGTATGACTGTATTGTTACAGCCAGATTATACTGTGGTTAGTGCCTTAAAATATATGATGACACTTTGCAAACAGCCTTTTGTTGACATAAGTATACCTTTTATCTTGGAAATTAGACAGAAGACAGATGTGTGTTTGTTTATGGTTTCCTTGGCTGGGCCAGCTGCTGACACCACTGGCTGTTTTCACATTTTCTTGGTAGGCCTTCCGCTGCCCTCCCTACCCCACCCCAACCTCCCAGAATCTAATTAGGAGCAGTACATGGTCACTAGAACCAAGAATACGATTCTAGTATTTCTAGTACATTTTCCCCATGAGAGACATGGTATTAGTCAAAGCTCAACTTTTCCCACAGAAGCGCCCATAATAGCAGAGCTAAGGGAACACTCTCTTTGATGGCTCCTGTTTTACCTTAAATATCCAGAGGAATTCTGCAATCTATGATTTAGCACTTTATTTTTCTAGAACATGGTATTGTATTATCATTAGGGGAAAAAACGGTGCTGTGTTTATCCTGTGAATTCCAGAAGCCCTGTACACCTGTGCCTGTTCCTGAAGCACGGAGTCTACTTCTGTTTTGTGTTTTCTCCTCTTTACTATTGAGGTTATTATTTACATACATTAAAACTCACCAATTTTAAATGTATAGTTTAATTTTGGTAATCGTGTACAGGGTGTAACAACTGCTACCATCAAGACATAGAACGATCACACCACCTTAAAAAAGTTTTCCATTCCCTTTGCCCAAGTTCCGTTTTGAGACCCTCGAGTTTTATGGTCTTCTCTAACATTGACTCTGGGTGATTTTAGGAAAGTCACTTTACTCACTGGGTATGTTTCTGCTCTTGTAACATGATGAATGTAGGAATAGATTTATTCCTAGAGGCTCTTTCAATACTTTCACAAAACAAGAGTATCGGGCGAGGGCTGGTATCTCAGCCTTATGTCCCCGTTCTTGATAGAGCATATGCAGGTGGCTGACCCTAGTGGGTAAAAAGCCTGTGGTGGCATCGAAGTTCCCCAGCCTCTTTTGCTAATGTGTAACGTTTTATTATTATTATTATATTATAACGTTTATAATATGTTTAACGTTTACTAAGCGCATCAGTTTCCTCATCTGCAATATCAGAGAACAAATAGGCATATGGGCATGTACTTCCAAAGAGTTCGCTAGAGGGCGCATTCGAGACCAGGAAGTTCTAACGCCTGTCGTACAACCGCGACTTTAAACGGCTCTGCTTTACGGCAACCTGCTTCCGCCGTAAAGCGCCGTGAGCGACCTCGCGTGAGTGAGTGGAGACAAATTCCAGGTGGGAAACGCGGCTCTTGAAGGTGGGCGACCTTGACGTTTTTGCTATGGGCAAACGCGGGAGCCGGAGCCAGAGCCAGCTGCTTAACACCCTGACTAAAAAACAGAAGAAGCATCTCCGGGATTTCGGCGAGGAGCATCCCTTCTACGACAGGTATGGAGGGGCACTGCCGGGACCCGCGGTGGCCTTGGCTTTTCCCGGGTTGGGTCCGCCGGTCTCCCTGGGGATCCGGACACGGCGACCCCCCGCACTTTCCCGGCGGCCTTGGAGGATTCCGGCGGCATCCCGCCTGAGATGGGACTCTTAGTGGGTCTTCCTGCCTTTTGTTGAGCCATTAGTTTTATGCTAGACCGCACGCCCCTTGGGGGGGGGGTCTGTTTTTGTACTGTCAGGGGTTTTCTAAGATTGATTTTGATGTTTGGGGTTTTTAAAGAATTGCTTGGGCCCTTCGACATCACTGATTTATCCCGTTACAATGAGGAAACCGGTGTATCGGTAGTTGTTTCCATTGAGTGTCCAGACTCTCAGCGACGATCTCACCCGTCCCTCCACCTCGGGCCGCCACATCAGCACTTGGGGACACTGTAATTAAGAAATGTGCTAGAAAAGGTTTCTTATTTGCTAAATTGAAGCTTCTTTCGGATGAGAGCCAGGTACTGTGTTTGTCATCGTGACGTTGTTAAACTTTTCATTTGTCAATTATTATCAGTTCGTTACATTCTTAGAATCCCTGTTCAAGAGCGTACATAGTTTTTACATGACTATAGTTATGTATTTATAATGGTACATTCTGCCTTTTTCATTTAAAGTTGTGTCATTGCGGGCACCTGGGTGGCTCAGGTCGTTGAGCGTTCAACTCTTGATTTCTATTCTGGTGGTGGGATCGAGCCTTGCATGGGCTCTATGCTGAGCATGGAGCCTGCTTAAGACCCTCTCTCTGCCCCTCTCCCCTGTGCGCGCTCTCTCTGTCTCTCTCTCTCTCTCTCAAATAAAATAAAGTAAAATAAAATAAAGTTGTATTAGTAGACTTTTTACTAGTTGTACATGCAAGTAGAGTTTAATATTACTTGTTTCTTCTCAGGGTTTCAGGAAAGGAGGCAAAACCACAGATTTATCAACCGGTAATGCTTTATGTTTTTTTTTATACTAGTGGGCTCTGGGTTGTTTTCAGATTATGTATAATAATAACTAAGTCTGGCTACATTTCTACTCCTTTCGATTTTAGATGTAAGCTATTATTTTAGTAGTGTGTGGTTTTGAAGGCAGATGTCTGTTAAAATACCATTGTGATAACTAATATAGTAACCAGAGTTCAAAACTCCTGAGAAATTAGCCTGTTCGAACCTGTTAGGGAGGCTCACCAGAGGGCTCTTGGTGAATCCTAAAGGAGTATCTTGTTCACTTAACATAAAAGGAGCCACAAACAGTGCAAACTGAACAGAGGTCCTAACTCATTACAACAAACTAAAAAAAAAAAACAACCCACTAAATTCTTTTGTCGTATTGTAATTTTCCTGTCATTCTTTTCAATGTGCCAAATATCTGACACACAGATTAGTTCTCCTTCTGGGGCGCCTGAGTGGCTCAGTCGGTTAACGTCTGACTTCGGCTCAGTTCATGATCTTGTGATTCCTGAGTTCCAGCCCCACCTCAGGCTCTGTGCTAACAGCTCGGAGCCTGGAGCCTGCTTTTGATTATCTGCCTCCCTCTCTGCTTCTCCCCTGCTCATGCTCTGTCTCTCTCAAAAATAAGTAAACATTAAAAAAATTATAAAAAAATGTTTCGTTCTGATTATAATCTAAAGCTTTGCTTTTAGTCAGCTTTCTTCCCAAGTGGAACATTAGCAGTTCAAAGAAGAAAAAAAAATTCTAGAATCATAGCCAGACTAGCTTTTTTTTTTTTTTTTTTTTACAAATAGTTTATTGTCAAATTAGTTTCCACATAACACTCAGTGCTCATCCCCACAAGTGTCCTCCTCCATGCCCATCCCCCCTCCCCCCACATCCATCAGTCCTCAGTTTTTGTCAGCATTCAAGAGTCTCTCATGGTTTGCCTCTCTCCCTTTCCCCCACCATTTCCCCCCTTCTTCTCCCCCTTGTTCCTCCATCAAGTTCCTCCTAATCCTCCTATACGTGCAAACATATGATATTTGTCCTTCTCTGCCTGACTTATTTCGCTCAGCATAACACCTTCAAGGTCCATCCATGTTGCTACACATGGCCAGATTTCATTCTTTCTCATTGCCATGTAGTATTCCATGGTATAGATAAACCACATCTTCTTGATCCATTCATCTGTTGATGGACACCTAGGCTCTTTCCATGTTTTAGCTATTGTGGAGAGTGCTGCTATGAACATTGGGGTACATGTGCTCCTATGCCTCAGCATTTCTGTATCCCTTGGGTAAATTCCTAGCAGTGCTATTGCTGGGTCATAAGGGACTTCTATTGTTAGTTTCCTGAGGAACCTCCACACTGTTTTCCAGAGGGGCTGTACCAGTTTACATTCCCACCAACAGTGTAGGAGGGTGCCCGTGTCTCCACATCCTCGCCAGCATCTAGAGTTCTCTGATTTGCTCATTTTAGCCACTCTGACTGGCGTGAGGTGGTATCTCAGTGTGGTTTGGATTTGTATTTCCCTGATGAGGAGGGATGCTGAGCATCGTTTCATGTGTCTGTTGGCCATCTGGATGTCCTCTTTGGAGAAGTGTCTGTTCATATATTCTGCCCATTTCTTCACTGGGTTGTTTGTTTTTCGGGCGTGTAGTTTGCTGAGTTCCTTATAGATTCTGGATATTAACCCTTTATCTGATATGTCATTTGCAACTATCTTTTCCCATTCCGTTGGTTGCCTATTAATTTTCTGGGTTTCCTTGGCTGTGCAGAAGCTTTTAATCTTGATGAGGTCCCAATCATTTATTTTTGCTCTTGATTCCCTTGCTTTTGGGGATGTGTCAAGTAAGAAGTTGCTGCGGTGGAGGTCAAGGAGGTTGTTTCCTGCTTTCTCCTCTAGGGTGTTGATAGTTTCCTGTCTCACGTTCAGGTCCTTTATCCATTTTGAGTTGATTTTTGTGCATGGTGTGAGAAAATGATCTAGTTTCATTCTTCTGCATGTTGCTGTCCAGTTCTCCCAACACCATCTGTTAAAAAGGCTGTCTTTTTTCCATTGGATATTCTTTCCTGCTTTCAGACTAGCTTTTTAAAATAACTTTGTTGGGGCACCTAGGTGGCTCATTTGGTTAAGCATCCAACTTCAGTTCAGGTCATGATCTCACGGTTCATGGGTTCGAGCCCTGCATCAGGCTCTGTGCTGACAGCTAGCTCAGAGCCTGGAGCCTGCTTCAGATTCTGTATCTCCCTTTCTCTCTGACCCTCCCCTGCTCACGTTGTCTCTCTGTCTCTCAAAAATAAATAAAAAATTAAAAAAAAAAAAAACTTTGTTGCTGGACATGCTTGAATAGATAGAATTGCATGTTTAGAGAAAAGCTAATTTTATGAAAGTCTGAACTTGTTATACTTTTGGTCTGATGATAACAATCATAGGGTGGAAACAAGAATAATAATGTTTGTTTCAAAAATTCCCATTTTCCTTTTAGTCAGAGAGTTCAGATACTTCAGGTTCTGAAAGTGAAGCGGAGAGCGAACCAGAACAAGTTTCTGGGTACCACAAACTACTCGCCACATTAAAGAATGTTTCCGAGGAGGAGGAGGAAGAGGAGGAGGAGGAGGAGGAAGAAGAAGAAGAAGAAGAAGAAGAAGAAGAAGAAGAAGATAGTGCTGGAGGTGAGGCAGAAATGGACGATGATGATGGTGATAGCGATGGCAGTGTGGACGAAGGGACAGCAGCAGGCTCTGCCGAAGTGGAGGAGAGTAAGTGTCTGGTGTGGGCTCATCCTCTTTGTTGGGACAGATGGCCTCAAGGGCACAGTGCCCTTACTGTGTGAGTTGGGTGAAAGTACGTGGAACCAAAGCAGAGACCCCCTAACCTTGTTGCTTCAGTGGTTTCTTTGAGAATCTGATGAAAACACAGGACCCTCTGGCCAGAAAAATGCAGAAGTAGTATTTTTGCTTATAATTTCCAGGTCTTTCATTTAACTTCAGTTAAAGTTGTTTTTTTTTCTCATTAAACTACCCCTCCTTGCCTAATTTTATTTTATTTTTTTATATTTAAAAATATACTTTTTATTTATTTATTTATTTTTTACAAATAGTTTTTTTGGATTCAGAGGAAAGGGGACATAATAATTATGTTTTTGTGACGGTCTTAAAGAGACCGTTGTCCCTCCCTTAGAGAAACCAGATTTAGTAGAAGACAGACATAAAAATACACCATTTTCAAGCAGCAGAGTTGTACGTGACAGCTGCTTGTAGGGCCCAGTGGTTGCATGCTGTTGGTATAAATGGGGGAAGGCTGCAGAGAGCAGCTGAGACAGGAAGTTTGAAGGAATGCTCTCACTCCGACTTCTGGGTGACTTTTTTCTTATAGCTTTAAAACCAACTTTATTGAGGTATGATTTACATACGAACAGGTGTACCCATCTTAAGTATACAACTTGGAGTTTGACAAATGTATACACCTGTGTTATCCTCACCAAAATCAAGGTTGAGAACATTTCCAACACTTCCCAAAACATGTCTTCTTGTCCATTTATAGTCCGTTTCCCCTTCTGGCATCAGGCAATCACCACCCTCTTTCTTTCACTACAGATTAGTTTTACCTGCTCTAGAAATTCATTTAAATAGAAGCATACAGTATGTACCCTATTGGGTCTGGCTGCTTTGGCTCTTCATGTTTTTGTGGTTCAATCATGTCGTTCATGTATTAGAAATTCATACTACTCGAATTTGTATTGGAATAATATCCCATTGTCAGTGTATCTAAGTAGCTTTTTATATCTCACTGTCTTAAGGCCTATTTTCGTTACAGCTGTATTTTTCTGAGGTGTCATTCATCATTTGTAGTATTTTAATTCATCAGTTTTACTGGGATAAAATTTATTGCCTCAGACTTGGGGGGCTTTTTATTAAAAATCCTGTTTTAGATTTTTAAAAATGAAAATTTTGTGAGTTTTTTTTAATTATAAAAGTAATATATACTTTAAAAATTTAAGAGGGTCATATATTTAACATTTATCTCTACTACCTTGGGATGAACACCTTCGCATTTTCTGTAACCTTCCAAATTAATTTTTTATGGATATAAGTGTGAGTATAAGTATGTACAGTGTATATACACTCATAATGGTCTCATACACTTCTGTAATTTACTTTTTTTCTTTAATAGAATACCACAGTCCTTTTCTCCATGAATAATTGTGGATTCATATTAGCTTCTTAATTACACAGTATTTCATTGTAAGTGATATGTGATAACTGAATTAATGCTCCATTGATAGAAAAGGGTAAAATCAATTTTCCTAGTTATTTCTGGTCATTGTCAGTGCTGCGTTAAACATCCTTACGTGTCCATCTTAGTGTGTTTTGTCCAGTTATCATCTTACAGTAAATTCCTAGAGCTGGAAGGAGGTCAGTAGTCAGGCTTAATTTTGAAACTTAAGCCTTCCACCTGAATTTGTGTTAATGTAAATAATAGTAATGAACATCAGTGTTGATTTAGGCTAAGGACTTAAATTTTACTGGTCCACGGAAGTATAATTATATTTATGGATAAATAATTGTATAAAATGTTTCTCAAAACGATAGGTCCTGCTGACCCTGAGGGAAACAATGGGGATGGGCCACTTGGCACATCACAAGAGTCCCCCGAGGAGTTTACAGACGCAAAACATGAGTCACTTTTCAGCCTGGAAACCAATTTTCTTGAAGAGGAAAGTGGAGGCACGTGTTGTCTGAACGTATCACAAGGTCAGAGCACAGTGTGTGTTATTTGATTTCACCAGGAGCTTACCATGGAGGTTGTGAGCTAGCACACCACGTTAAATCTCTAGTTACTGGCATGAGCAACAATAAAAACAGGTTAGCAGCTCCATCTAGAGCTGGAAAGAAGTAACTTCTCGAAGGCATTTTGTGGTTTTCAGTGGCTGGGCAGTGTCGGGGATCAGGAGGCTCTTCAGTAGGACAAACAGCCTACAAGTGAGTGTAGGGGCGGCCAGTTCCCCAGGTCCCGTGTCGCCACGGTTGGGGTCAGGGGAAGACCTCTGATTTCCTCCCTAAGCAGAGAAAGAAGAGAAAGGAGAAAAATATTTTACGCTTTTCTCTCTACCCTTCACTTGTTCTTTGTAATTGGAGCAGGAATTTTCCAGATATGTAAGACTCAGGACTGGCTAATATGATTGGCCCCTTAGAGGCCAGAAAGCTCCATCCTGTCTCTCCAGTCTCTCAGCCTCTTGGTTATGCCTCTGTCCCAGTGACAGTGACTTGGACAAGGCCTGCCTATGGTAGGTGTAGGCAGGTCTCTGCTGTCTCTCTCAGCTCCACTTTCTCAGCCTGTGCCTGGCGGACAAGTCAGGTTGGTCTCCTTCTTTGTTCTGACTGCCCTTTTCTGCCCCATTGCCTCCCCGTGGGGGAGGGACAGAGAGAGAGAGGTCAAAAGAATCCCAAGCAGGCTCTGCACTAGATCTCACAAACTTCGAGATCATGACCTGAGCTGAAATCGAGAGTCAGACGTTTAACTGACTGAGCCACCCAGGTGCCCCAGCTTTTCAGAGTGGGACCAGAAGACAAGGTTGGGTAGGAGCTCAGAGGACTGAAGATAAGCCTGAGTACAGGTGCTACTATTTGGATCATTTGTTCAATTCAGTTGAGTGTGGAGCATTTCTCTGTGTCCTGCAATGCGAGATAAATCAGACATGGAACCTGCTGTCAGGGAGCTTACCATCTACTGTATGAGACCAGACTGCACTTATATGCGTTGCAGTGGGTGGGTAGGCACGGGCGGGGGGGTGGGGGGGGGTGCTGTCTGTAGGGCACCGAGGATGGCCTGTTAGTGGAACCAGCACTCAGCCTGGCACAGTAGGCTCCAGGGCAATATTTATTGTGAGTCAGGACATAACATTAAACATTAGTATTCGGACATACAAAAATGAGGTGAAGGAAAGAATAGGATTTTTAATCGAAGGAACCCCACAGTGGCAGAAGAGTTTGAGGGCCGTATAATTCAAAAATTACACGGGAAAGGTAGATGGGAGGTGTACCTCCTGCAGTGCCCCACATTTCAGACTGAGAAGTTTCTTCAAGGGTTTTGAGCTGGGAAGTAAAGCGATTAGAGAAGTGCTTTAGGAAAGGAAATCCGTTAGAAACGTCTGAGCTGGGGGAGAGGGTGGGGAAAGTAGATGGGAGAAAGGATGAGTTAACATAGTGAAAAAGTATGTGTCATTTAGAGGGAAGACCAAAAAAATACCTGTTTTCTCCAAGTGTTCTGACATTCTGGATTTCTGAATTAGATCCATTTCTACAACACGTGAACAAAGAACTGAAAGAAAAAGAAATTCAAGCTGTTGCCACAAATCCCAAAACTACTCACCAGCTAAAAGTAAGTGTTGCTTGGCCATCCAGTCACAAAGGAAGTAAAGCTCCAAGTAAATCAATGGTCTTGGGTTTTGGGGGGCCTCCCCTGATGTCGATACATGCTGGTGGTAGATGGCTTGACAGGGGAGCATGACCTAGGAAGGCTGGGAGAGCCTAGGGGGCGCAGGGGTGGCTAGAAAGGCCCGGGGAAGCTGGAGTGTGGGAGCCAGAGAAGAGTGGCTTTGGAGGTAGGTACACCAGGGTTTAGACCAGCATCTGAGAGGTGCTGTCGCATAACCTAAGGCAAGTTAAGCTACCTTTTTGACCTTCAGTGTTCTCACCTGTTAGAGGGCGGCAGTAATGCTTATTTCAAGGTGAAGTAATTTAGTTTACTGACTGATACATTGATGTGTTGAATAAAACAGCCACTGCTGCTATTTGTTTGAAATATGTGAGATACATTCACAACTAAGTTACTCAGATGTAGAGCAGTTTTTACTTTGTGTTTTTTGTTGCTCACCAGTTAATGCTGTTTCTAAGAACTGGTCATCCTTTTTTAATTGAAATTTTTATTGAGATAATAATTATAGATGCAATTGTAAGAAATAAAAGACATCCCTCATGCCCTTTGCCCACTTTCCCCCAATGATAACATCTTGCAAAACTGTGATATAGTATCAGGGCCAGGAAATTGGCATTGACATGCTCTTCTGTCTTATTCAGCTTTCCCCAGTTTTGCGCCTACTCTTTTGTGTTTGTGTTTAGTTCTGCACCGTGTTAAGTCCCCCCGTCCACCACCAAAGTTAAGATGCAGAACATTTTCAGCACTATAAAGATCTCTCTTTTTCCCTCTTGCCCTTTTAAAACCACACCTCCCTTCCTCCCCCCAATTCCTAATCCTTGGGAATCCCTGTCTGTTCTCCATTCTACAATTTTGTCATTTCAAAAGTGTTATGTAAAAAGAACCCTGGGGTACCTGGGTGGCTCAATCAGTTACGCATCTAACTCTTGATTTTGACTCAGGTCAGGATCTCATGGTTTGTGAGATTGAGCCCTGTGTGGGGCTCTGTGCTGGCAGCATGGAGTCTGCTTGGGATTCTCTCTCTTCTCTCTCTGCACCTCCCTTGTGTGCACGCACTCTGTCTCTGTCTCTCTCTCTCTCAAAATAAATAAACATTAAAAGAAAAAAAAAAGAAGAATCCTACAGATTGGCCTTTTTCACTTTGCATAATTCCCTGGAGATTCATCCCAGTCATTGGTGCATAGATCCAATATTGATGCCTGGGTGGCTCAGTCAGTTAAGTGTCTCACTGTTGATTTTGGCTCAGGTCATGATCTCACAGTTTGTGAGATATAGTGCAGAGCCTGCTTGGGATCCTTTCCCCCTCTCTCTGCCACACCCCCACTATCATGCAGAAGTCTGCTCTCTCCCCCAAAATAAATAAATAAACTTAAAAATAAATAAACTTACTGCTGACATCATTCTTTTCTTTCCCCCTACCCCCCTTCCCCCTCCCCCCCACCAAGATCGGCAATTTTGTTACTGTGCAAAAATTTCCAAACTTGTATCTCACAAAAATATACTTTAGATTTTAATAGCTATGCCTCAAGAAAAAAAAATTCCATGTCCAAGTAAATTTGGAAAGCTTTAGGTTAATAAAGTAGAACAGAGTCTTGTCATAGGATTCATCAGAACCTTTTGTATCTAATATACATTGTGACTCTCCTGGAGAGGATTAGCTTTTGTGATGTTTACCAAAGTTATTTGACCATGGAGCCCTTTCTTTTCTGCAGTGAATTTTGATTCCCTATAACATATTCCACAGAATAGTTTGGGACAACTGATGTAGTGAAGAGTTCAGGCTGGAAGTCAGAACCTTGGGCTCTAGCTCTCAGCCCTGTTCTCTCCTGGATAAAGTTTGTCTGAATCATATAATCTCTCTGAAGCTCAGCTTTCCTAAATTGTAAGAAGAGCATTATAGCCTCCACCTTGCAGGGTTGTTGGTTAGGATTAAATGAAATCATCTTATAAATCAGAATTGTATGAATTAGGAATTGTGTGAATGCAACACAGTATAATGCATTTCTAACTTAGCTCTTGATCTCTTTCCTAGTGGCCCATATTGGGCCAGCTTGTCTTTTCATCCAAGTTTCAGAAGTTGGAAACATTTAAACCATCAAAGGACATTGACTTAAAGTCACTTCATCTCCGGAAGCCTCTGGAATCCACCTGGACTAAGACCAACAGCCAGTTCCTCTCTGGTTCCTCCAAATCAAGTAGCCCCTTCACACCCCTCCAGAAAGAGCTCTTCTTAATTATGAATTCTTACCAGGACCTTTTCTACCCAGAAAGGACTGCCCTGAAGAATGGGGAGGAGATCCGCCATGTGTACTGCTTGCATGTAATAAATCATGTCCTCAAAGCCAATGCCCAGGTGCTTGGTAACAATAGCAGACGTCGCAGCCAGAAACTTGGAGTGGGTGACGATGATGACTTCAGAGACCAAGGGCTAACAAGGCCCAAGGTGAGTGGCAGCAGGAGAACTTTGTTCACAAGAAGGAGGCTGTGAGGCACTGCCATATACGTGCCTGGCACTTAGCAGGTACTCGGGTATTTTAATGATGTGAATATTGGAATAATGAGTGAGCCCAGGAGTGAGCACATTAGATGGACCAGGTAGTGTCAGAGCCGTACAGTAGACAGCTCAGTGGACTGTTTTTAACTGTGGATTTGTGGATTCAACTGGAAACTTGTGAGTCACAGGTACTTGATAGTTTTCCTTAAAGATAACCCTGAACATGTGTAAATGACACTCCATTATAGATCTCTTTGTGATTGTCACAGCTGGATGGAACCTTAGTAAGCCTTTTATCCAATCCCTGGATGTTAAAGCTACAGACAGAGACCCAGATTCATAGAGGACCTCGCTAACGAGGACCAGGGATGCTGAAGTAGCAGAGATGGGATGAGAACCAAGGTTTCTCTTCACTGAGCCACACACATATGTAAACCTTGGAAAACAGAAATTCCTATTTTTCCATTATATAAGTTATTGCCGCCTAAAATGATGACATTTATGTGGGTTCCTAAGCCCAAGTTCCAGTTGATCTGGGGGCTTTGGTAGGAAATGCATGTTAGTTGTGCCCACATTACTCATATTGAGTGGCTACGTCTTGTGTTGTCCATTTCCTATACCACTTTAGCCTATATCCCTCCATATTGAAGAATCTAAAAAGATTTTTTAGATTGGTAGTTTCTGAGTTTAATAAGATTCTGGGGTGCCCGGGTGGCTCAGTCGGTTGAGCATCTGACTTTGGCTCAGGTCATGATCTCACAGTTCGTGGCTTCGAGCCCCGTGTCGGGCTCTGTGCTGACAGCTCAGAGCCTGGAGCCCGTTTCAGATTCTGTATCTCCCCCTCTCTCTAACCCTCCCCTGTTCACGCTGTCTCTCTCTCTTCCTCTCTCTCAGAAATAAATTAAAAAAAAAAAAAAGTTAAAAAAATGTCATTAATAAGATTCTAGGGTTTAGTACGGTAGTGCATCTTAGACATTTCTTGGTCCAGCCCTCTACTTGAAAGCTGGAGAAACTGAAACCTGGACGCTTACGTGGTGTGGCTGCTAGGACAGTAACGTGGCCCTCTTCAGTCTTGGGCCCTCACTGCTGCACCGCACCAGTCTGAATCACGACACCTCTCCAGATGTGCTGCTTCCCTTTCTGGGGAACTGTCTGAGTCTTGGACACAAGTATTATAGATTTATCTGTTTCCATTTAGAGTCTTAGAGAAGAATGAGGCAGATTAATAGTGAAGCACATCTAGAATTTGATGAATTGTGTCATCTGGTGGGCTGTTTACGTTGTTGATATTTACAGAAGGCTAGTTAGAAATTTATCATTTATCAAGCATATTCTGATTTCGTTCTCAGCAGTTATAACTTTAAGCATTTTTGGAAATGTTTGGAAAACTAAGTCCTATATTTCCCATTGAAATATCTTATTTCAGAAGTGTTTCATCATCATTTCTGAAAAATGTACTAGAGAACATTCTAGAAAAGTAGTGATTCATTAATCCTTTTCCTTACCAGCTTTATTTGTTCTCTACTTATTACATCTAATTCATTTATTTACTCGGTGTTTATCCTTTGGAGCTTATGGGTAAAAATACTAAAGTTCTGTGAAAGATAGAAATGACTCACGTTCCTTGTCACTTGTATGTTTATATTGGGTTTTGCTAGTGGGCAGCTGTTATAGGCATTGACTTAATCCTGAAAGGTATTTCCACATTCTGGTTGAGAATTGCCTTCTGTGGGGCCATGAACTTAAAAGTCCACAAGACATGGTACTGTGGATATGAGAGGTGCTCAGCTTCTAGTACTGAGCCAGGTCCTGTACAAAAGGGGTGATCTAGGGCTCAGCCCTTTCAGAGGCTGCTCTACAGAGGGTTGGTCAGCTCCATGTCCTCAGCAGACTGACCTGCAGCTGCCGATCCTTCCCCTGGTCCCACCAAGTCTGCTGTGGCTTCCTCCACAGGTGCTGATAGTGGTGCCCTTCCGGGAAGCTGCTCTGCGGGTGGTCCAGCTCTTTATCAGCCTCCTCGAGGGTGACAGCAAGAAGAAGATAATCGTGAGCAACAAAAAGAGGTTTAAGGGAGAGTATGGCTCTGATCCTGAGGAGAGACCACCCAACCTGAAGAGGCCTGAGGATTATGAAGCTGTGTTTGTAGGCAACATCGATGACCACTTTCGGATCGGTAATTCTTCCTCATCAGAACTCAGACCCCAAGGGACCTATAGTGTGAGGTTCTCATGGCCAGAGGCTAGAAGCCTGGAATTAGGCATTCTCTTAGTGGTTTGAGATGTCCTCCTAACAGGGCTAGGGTACGTTCGAGACATCTTGTCTGCCAGGGAAGAGAGTTTTGCTTGGCTAATGGGGCGGATGCTTGCCTAAGGGTGGAGCATCTCTGAAGCTCTATATAAAGACACGTGTACATTTACAACAGAAATGTCTCAGCACACCCATAGCTAGTAGTTGATGCTACAGGGGAGTTGGAAATGATGCGAGCTGAGTGGGCCTCTCAGGGGAGGCTGAATAAACTGAGTGTCTGTGCATAATGGTGGGCTTCCCTCCTACTGGCCATGTGGAGTGCCTACCCCTGAATTGTCTCCACTCAGGACTTACCAACTGCCACCCGACTTGTTACGTATTTGCTTGTCTTTCATTCAACTCCCATTTACTTGGTTGCTTGTATATTAATAGAGTAATGTTCTTATGGAAATTTTCATTAGTCACATAAGCTCATTCGACAAACATTTATTAAGTATCTGTTGTGTGCCAGGTACTGTTAGGAAGCTAGGGACATAGAAATTAAAGTTATGGTTCCTATTGCTAAGGAAATCCAGTCTCATGGGAAAACAATACAGAATGATAATGATGAGTACTAATCAGAGGATGCAGTGGATGTTCTGGGAGTGTTTAAAGCAATTTCTGTACTCCGGATGAGGACAGGATAGTTAGGAAGGCCTCCTGTGGCTGCCATTTATAGAAAGTTACAAAGGGGTGGTCAACATGGAGCGAAAGGTTTCAGACAGGAAACTGCATGTGCAGAGGCCTTAGGGTGAACAAGCCAGGCGAGACCCAAGATGTATATAGATTTCAGCAGGGCTGGAGTGTCAGGTACAGCGGGACAACAGGTGATGTTTAGTTTTACTTTTTTTTCTTTAATGTTTATTTATTTTTGAGAGACAGAGCATGAGCAGGGGAGGGACAGAGAAAGAGGGAGACACAGAATCCAAAGAGGGTTCAGGCTCCGAGCTGTTGGTCGAGGCTGATGTGGGGCTCAAACCCACAAACCATGAGATCATGACCTGAGCCAAAGTTGGCCACCCAATCGACTGAGCCATCCAGGTGCCCCGAGAGTTGATGTGTAGTTTTAAACATGTGAAAGTGTCCTGCAAGCTGCTGATATGTCAGTTTTGAGCTCAGGAAAGAGATGTGGGCTGGAAGTACAGATCTTTGCGGAGGTGATGTTACAGTTGTGGTTGGTGAATAAATTTGCCCATTTATTATCCATATACTTTATAGAGTGAAAGTAGAACTTAGAGCCAAATCAGGGATTTGTGGAAGAGCTGTTTGGATCTGGAAAGATAGATATGGGCCAGGTCAGGCATAGAAGCGGAAGTGAGTGTTAAAAGAAATTGATACCACCAGTGAGGAAAAGAACATTTCAAGCAAGATGTGTTCAACATGCTGTTTTATGCATTTGTGACAAGAAACAAAGTGGCATTGAGTTACTGACCTTGGCAGGAGTCATTTCAGTGGAATGCTGAGAAATGAGCCAGATTGCAATGCATTGAGGAATGAGTGGGAGATTTCTAAGGGGAGACCATCCTCTGGAGTGGTTTGACCCTAAAGGAAAAGAAGAGAACAAGAGCTAGATGGGACCATAGACTCAGGGAGGGATGCTTGTTATTATTTTAGTAAGTAAAGCAATTTGAACATGGTTATGTACTAAGGGGAAAGATGTGAAGGTACAACATGCATCAGAGGGTGAAAGCTAATGGCTTGGTGGGAACTAATGAACTGATGTGCACTTGGCTGTTTTGTGTAGGAGTGGCAATCCTTCAGAGGAGCATCCGACTCTATGCCCCCTTTTACTCCTCCGACATCCTCATTGCCTCCCCGCTGGGCTTGAGGACCATCATTGGTGGAGAAGGAGAGAAGAAGAGAGATTTTGACTTTTTGTCTTCTATTGAGCTTCTCATCATTGATCAAGCCGACATTTACCTGATGCAGAACTGGGAGCATGTCCTGGTAATGGTGGTCATTTACATTTAGAGTGACAAAGTTCACATATAGGGAGAGAGGAAGCTCTGTGGTTTAAGTCTTTATTTTTTTTAATATTTATTTTTGATAGAGAGGATGCATGTGAGTGGGGGAGGGGGAGAGGTAGAGAGACAAAGACAAAGAATATAATATGAAGCAGGCTCCGCACTGTCAGCACAAAGCTCTACATGGGGCTTGAGCCCACAGACTATGAGATCATGACATGAGCTGAAGTCAGACACTCTTATCGACTGAGCCACCCAGGCGCCCCATTGGTTTAACTCTTAAAGTGTTATTTAAGGCAAAATGAGAACTCAGTTTGGACATGGAAATGTTTCACATTTTCCAGTTTGAAAAAGCCTTTTGCCCCCTTTTCTACCCACAGATTGGTCAATAATTAAAGAAATTAAAGAAATAAAAACTCTTATCCGTATTTTCATATCTCCAGCAAAGATTTCTTCCCTTGAAAGGTCACTTCTGCGAGTGACCACACTTGAGTGTGGCTGGTTGGTAGGTTGGTTCATTTTAACCAGGAACGTGTTTACCTAACATAATTCTTCTTACCATTTATGCTCATTTTTTTCTTGTTTGGCCTTCAGAGGAAATAGGAAACATTGCTCATGTGTGATCTTGTTTTACAGAGAAATGTAGGAGGTTTTTATCTTCTTGCTGTAACATATGCTGTAATTTTGTTCTCCTTCCCTACATACTTTGGTGTTGTCCCATTTTTCCTTTGTAACAGCCTTTATCACAGAACCATAGGTTTGGTTTTTATAGGCATATGAGGACTCGCTTCTGTAATCCCAGGGCTTGTAGGAAGGTTTGGGTAGATAAAGGGAAGCATTTACTCATAAAAGAGGGAATACATTTATAGTACTTGTTATCCATTACTATAGATTTCCAGGTGAAGATATAATAAAGATAGAAAAGGCATGTTGATGATTGAGTCATATTTTTTAATTTGAGGGAAAAGCAGGCGGTGGCTCTGGGGGATCTCCTAACGTGTGAGGACTAATCATTGAAGAATAATAGCTCTGTTTTCCATGTCATTTCTCTTACCCAAGTCTGGGATTACGGTAGCATTTCTGAAGTTCCTTTTATTTTTTTTTTTTTATTTTTTTTTTTTTTACATTTGTGTAATGTCTTTATGCAAGACAATGGAAAAGTTATGAAATAATACTTCTATTCTTACATGAATTAGCTCATTAAGTTGGTTGTTACATATTTCCATCTGTCATGTTTGTCGCTTTCTTTTTATTAAGACTTCATTTTTTTGAGAGCAGTTTCAGGTTCATAGTAAAATTGAGAGGAAGGTAGAGATTTCCTCATCCCCCCACACCAGATTGGTACATTTGTTACCATTGATGAGCCCACACTGACATATCATTATCACTTAAAGCCTATAGCTTACTTTAGAGTTCATTCATGTTGTACATTCTATAGGTTTTGACAAATGTATAATGACAAATATATCATCCATCGTTAGGGTATCACACAGAGTAGTTTCTTTGCCCTAAAAATCCTATCTTCCATCTATTCATCCTTCCCCCAACCAACCACTGGTAACCACTGATCTTTTTACTATCTCTACAGTCTTGCGTTTTCCAGAATGTCTTGTTGTTGGAATCATACAGTACATAACTGTTCATATTGGCTTCTTTCACTTAGTAATATGCATTTTAGTTTCCTCCATGTCTTTTAATGGCTTGATAGCTCATTTCTTTTTACTGCTGAATAGTTTTCCACTGCATGATATACCACCATTTTTATTCATTCACCTGCTGAAGGACATCTTGGTTCCGCCCATGTTTGAGTGATTCTGAATAAAGGTGCTGTAAACATCCATGTGCATGTTTTTTGTAGACCTAATCCTTCAGCTCCGTTGGGTAAATACCAAGGAATGCAACTGCTGGGTCATATACTAAGAGTACATTTAGATTTGTAGGAAACCACCATATGTAATCCAAAGTAACTGTACCATTTTGCATTCCCATCTGAAGTTCCTTTTAAAGGAATATTCCTGTAGGTAGCATTTTGATCCTTTCTGAAAGATGCAAGAGGTAGCCAGTTTTAGCTTACCTTCCTGTTGGCAGTGTTCACCTAACTGGGCAGTTCACACCCATCTGAGCCTCGATTTTTCTGGTGTAATTTGGAAGTTGATTTGTATATACCCCATGGGGTTAATAAGATAGATTTATAAAATGCTTAGCAGTGCCCAGCAGGTATATCCAGGATAAAGATTAATAGTAGTGTTATTTCTGTTCAAAGCATTTGATGAACCACATGAACCTACTGCCATTGGATTCACATGGGGTGGACTTCTCTCGAGTAAGGATGTGGAGTCTCAATAATTGGTCCAAGTATTATCGCCAGACACTGCTTTTTGGGGCCCTGCAGGATGCCCAGATCAACTCCGTGTTCAACAAGTACTGTGTCAATCTGCAAGGCCAGGTGGGCGCTCTCCATGTTTCTCTGCGTCTCCCTGGGGCACTGTGTACTGTTTAGGTTATGAGACATAAAGAGAAGATGGCATTTGGTCAGCAGTGGGCATTGCCGGCCTCCTGACACTCTCATTGACTCCCGACAGGTGGCTGTGAAGAATGTCCCAATGACAGGCTCCATCAGCCATGTCCTGGTGCAGCTTCCACATGTCTTCCAGAGGATGGAAGCTGAAAACCTAGCTTCAGTGATTGATGACAGGTACCTGTCCCTTCCTGGTCCCATTGGACACTTGGGGGTCAGAGAGAGGAATTTGGCGTTGGCATACGAACTTAGAACTGGACTGTATGTTGATTTTACTGATTACCGTTTACCAGATGAGATGAGATAATTGAACCCGATCATCATTGACAGAAGAGGAAACTGAAGCCCAGAGAGGAACAGTGCCTTGCCCTAGTTCCCCAGCTGGTTGGTGGCAGCATTATTAGTGCAGATCGGGAGCCTTCCCATCAGACTGGGACATTTCCTAATTACATTACACTGCTTAATGCTGCAGAGTGTTTCATGTCAACAACTTAGTTTTAAGCCCTTCAGGGTAAGAACTAATGCCCAGAAGCAAACACTGAAACCTTTAAATATTCAACTCTAAGCCCTTCACCTTTTGCTTCCTGCAAACATAAAGGTTCCAGTGTGTTTAATTCTCTCTGTATTTTTCCTGTTTCCTCACTGTGTTGGTCAAGGGACTCATGGGAGTTGTTCAGTGATGATTTGTTGATTGATTGACAACAGAACAAATGAATGCATGAATGAGTGGTGTGCATGTGTACTTCTAGAATAATTCCCTGAGATATACTGGCATCACATCTATCTGTTACAATGAATAGCGTTAGCACTAATTTTTTTATTCTTATATAATCTCTTTGGGATGAGGTAAGCCATATTGGCCTTTTTGGGGAGGTAGAAGGAGATCGTGACTTACCCAGGGTAATCCAGTTAGTGGTGACACTGAGGGCTAATCTCTAGATCATTGACTTTGCTCTTTGCTTTTCCCAATCAGGTTTAACTTTTTTGTGAACAAGATTTTGCCTCAGTATCGTGACGCAGTCATGTCTCACACGTTCATCTATGTCCCCTCCTACTTTGACTTTGTGCGTCTCCGAAATTACTTCAAGAAGGAAGAACTGAACTTCACTCACATCTGCGAGTACACCCCGAAGTCTGGCGTCTCCAGGGCCAGACACTTCTTCCTTCAAGGAGAGAAGCAGTTTTTGCTCCTCACAGAGCGCTTCCATTTCTACAAAAGGTAAAATAGTACCAGGTTTTGAGTGTCCTCTCAGTAGGGGAAAATGCAGTGCACATCATGGCCTACTTCTGAGTGCACGGTAGGCTTTGCGGTGTAAGATCCTCTTCAGTCCACCTTTTGTAGAGGAGCCAGAGAGTTTTGGAACTGGACAGGCTCTTCTTGGTTGGTTGGTTGACTTTCTCCCAAAATGGGCATAGTTGGAAAACGTAGAAACAAATGAGTGACTACAGTATAATCTGTGTGTGGATCTGGAGTGGGTCTACACTACCCTCGGGGATACTTCTTGTAGCTGTGGTTTGTATACCTCAAGAAAGACATGACCGAGTTGAACAAGACTAGATAGCACAGTTGAAGTGACTGTCGGAAGGAGGGGGACCTGTCATGGAAGCACAAGCAAAATGTCAGGGCCTGTGTGGTCCATGGAGGCAGGGGCAGAGCACAAGGTCATTGTTCAGAAAGTTCCAGTGTGTCTTGACGGGGTACACACACACTTCCTAACCAAGGAGTCCAGGACTGAGGGGCCCCTTGTTTGCAGGAGGCAAATGGTAACGGGCTTACAGTTGAATATTTAATGATTTCAGAATTTGCTTTGCTTCCCCACGATGTGATTTTGACAAAACAAGTTGGACCTTTAAAAAAAATTTTAAGGTTTACTTATTTTTGAGAGGTGGTGGGTGGGTGAGGGGCAGAGAGAGGGAGACACAGAATCTGAAGCAGGCTCCAAGCTCTGAGCTGTCAGCACAGAGCCCAGCGTGGAGCTTGAACTCACGAGCCACAGGATCATGACCTGACCTGAATCATGAGATCAGACGCTTAACCGACTGAGCTACCCAGGTGCCCCTTGACTGGCCTTTTTTCAAAAATTCTAATTAGAGTGTTAGTAATGTTTCGCTTTCTGTTACTGCTTGCAACCTTTTATGCCCCTAGAAGTCAGGTATTTTGTTGTATTGCCACATCTGTCTGCTGCCAAATGAAAAGCCCTTTTTAAAACCCTTATCTATAGAGAGATGGAAAGTTACATCCTATTATCTCTTCTTTCCTGATTTGCAATAATGTTCAGTGAATTTATGTTTTGCCTTTACTGTTTGATTACTTCTCAGTCACATATACTGCTGAAGGCCACTTTTTCTCAGAGAGTCTTCTAGGCTTTAGAGCATATTTGATGATACACATTGGCATTGCTTTGCTTTTTAGTTTATGCTTATGTTAGGATGTGCTTCCCAGATGTGTTTTTTTAATTTTTTTTGAATTTTTTATTTATTTCTGAAAGAGAGAGAAGTGTGAGCAGGGGAAGGTCAGAGAGAGAGAGAGAGAGAGAGAGGGAGATACAGAATCTGAAATAGGCTCCAGGCTCTGAGCTAGCTGTCAGCGCAGAGTCCGACGCGAGGCTTGAACCCACAAACCGCGAGATCATGACCTAAGCCGAAGTCGGACGCTTAACCAACTGAGCCACCCAGGCGCCCCGCCCCCAGACATGTTCTTGTTACCAAGATGGGGAGGGAGGACTCTAGCAGCCCACCAGGGCTGAAATGACATGACATGACCTCTTTGGGTATTCTGCTGATGAGGTGATCTGTGAGTGGAGAGAGGAGAAATGGCTACATTTGTGTTCCCTGGGCTCCATTCTTGGCCACCGACACAGGGCTGTTTGGCCAAAGAGTGCTGATGAATATTGGCATCATTATTTGCTTTGTTCTAATAAGTTGTTGTTTTCATTCACATTGGAAAGTGATATTTTAGGGGAGATTGCACTCGGCAGGTCTTAAGAGCCCTTAGTTTTCTATCATCTTGACACATGACAGCAAGCCTTTTAAGTGAAGTGGATGAATTGGACAGTTTCCCAGTATGATGGTCTATAACGAGTATGAATTAAGCTGGGGGAAGACTGCTCTCAAATAGCAGCTTTTCAAGGAGAGGGCATGATGTTTTAAGAGCAGCACAGTCCGCTGGCTTACACCACTGGATGTACCAAACTGTTTTTGCCCCCGAATCACTATAAAGACAAACCAAGCATGTACCACTTGCTTTACACCCTGGACCAGGTTCAGGGGTATATCCTGTCCTGCACTGAAGATGACTAGAAAAATAATGTGCTTCAGTGTTCTGTACCTGCTAATTTTCTCAAAGTTTCCAACTCTAGATATTTTTGCTTGAAAGGTCACCAAAGTGATGATATCTGCAGTGCCTTTGTGATTTGATTTGACCTTGGGAAAGGTACACACATGCTAAACTTTAGTATGCAGCTCTGAAATTCTGTATTTATCTTCTCTATGGAAGTAGGCAGTGTTAGAAATATCACTGCTTTTTTGTGAGCTAGCAGAACATTTTTAACCAGAAGATAATTCATTATTTGTGGGGATTGGGGCATGAAACCAGTTGAATCTTAGGATTGGACAGGCCTTTGGTCATGGTGGCCCAGCTGAGGATGGGGTGCTTCACTGCCCTTTCTGTGAGCTTTATCAATGGGGTGCCACAGCAGGGAGAATTCTCAACCAGGGCCCAGTCAGAAACTCTGGAGATGGGATTTATGGGGTTGGAAAAGGCTGCTGGGCCTTTTTTTTTTTTAATGTTTATTTTTGAGAGCATGAGCAGGGAAGAGGCAAAAAGAGAGGGAAGGAGCAGAGAGAGAAGGAGACACAGAATCCAAAGCAGGCTCCAGGCTCCAAGCTGTCAGCATAGAGCCTGACACGGGGCTCAGACTCACGAACCATGAGGTCATGACCTGAGCCGAAGTCAGACCCTTAACCGACAGAGCTACCCAGGCATGCGGGGGTATTTCTGAGTACCCACAGCCCTTACATGAGAATCCCTAGTTCTGGAAGTAGCAGACCCTGTGTATAGACAATGTGGAGGAGCCAGCCTTTCAAATCAGCCGTGGGTGCCTCATTTATCTTTCGCAGTTGGGAGGTGAAGTAGACATCTGGAATGTCTTTTGTCCTTAGTTAAAGTTCCCATCCAGCCATTCTGTCATATTGCTAGGGGTCACTGAAGACCCAAAACCTGTAAAAGGGAGGAATAAGGGAGGGGAAGGGATGCTGAAGATTATGGAGAATCAACAGTAACTGTCCCTCTGAAGAGGCCTTCACCACAGTCACTATTTCCAGGAGATACCTAGTCTATTGCGGGAGATTGAAACTGAGAAAGACTTTCTTAGTTTTTAAATACAACACTTATGGAATTGGTTTTGTTGTTTTATAAGTACTCTGATTCTAAGAATGTTATACAATTACCGTAGAGAAGTTGGAAAATCTAGGTTGAAAAAAAGAAAATGGAATCTCACTGCCCTGATATTAATAGCCATTTTGGTGTGTCTTTTTTTTACGTGAAAAATATGTGCACATGTACAAATGTGCACACTGTGCACCTACACAGACATACACACTATTTGTTTTAAAAACTAAATTGGGATTCTACTGTACTTGTTGAGATTTTTTTCTTTTATGTGATTTATGTGCTTACTGAAAAAGAGTTTTAATATGTTAACACTTTGGCATATGTATTTGTATATCATGGGTGCATTTTTAAGTTGACATATATGGCTCTATCATGTCCTCCCTTCCCCCAATTTTTTATTTGGAAAGGTTTCATTTCACAGGAAATTTTAAGACTGTAATAGTGAACATCTATAACTCCTTTTGCTTGGACTTCACCAGCTGTTAGCATTTTGCCGTATTTGCACGCACCCCTGTTCACTGTCTTTCCCTCTCTCTGTCCATTCACATCTTATTTTTCCTTTCTGAACCATTTATAAACAAGTGCAGGGTCTTCCTGTCATTGAACCCCTAAATCTTTCAGCATGTAGTTCCTAAAAACAAGAATAGTGTTTTATCTAACTACAATACTGTTATCATACCACTTGATATTATTATAGTAATGTCATCTGATATATAGTCCATATTCAAATTTTCCTTGTCCCTATGATGATCATTATAGCTGTTTCACCCTGTAATCCAGGATTCAGTTAAGGATCATACATTACATTTGGTTAATGTTTCTTTAGTCTATCTTAGTAGTTCTCAGCTGGGGGCAGTTTTCTTCCTGGAGACATTTTTTTTTTAATGTTTTTATTTCTGAGAGAGAGAGAGAGAGAGAGAGAGACCGTGTGAGCAAGGGAGAGTCAGAGAGAGAGGGAGATACAGAATCCGAAGCAAGCTCCAGGCTCTGAGCTAGCTGTCAGCACAGAGCCTGATGTGGGGCTCAAACCCACAAACCCTGAGATAATGACCTGAGCCAACGTCAGACACTCAACTGACTGAGCCACCCGGGTGCCCCCCTGGAGACATTTTTGGTAGTCAGAAATGGTCTCGTGCTTCTAGTGGATTGAGGCTAGGATGCTTCTGGATGCCCTAGAGTACAGAAGTTAGCCCCTAACAATTATCAGGTTCAATAGGTCAGTAGTGTGGAGCTTAAGAAACCTTGATCTAAAATAATTCTTACTTATTTTTCTTTGGCATTTTTTGAAGAGTCCAATCCAATTTCTTGTAGAATGTCCCAAAGTCTGGATTGTGTAATTGATTTTTTTTATTATTTAGACCAGTGGTTCCCAGACTTTGCTGTACATTAGAATCCCCTTGGGGAGCTTTTAAAGATCCAGATACCCAAGGCATACCCCAGTACCAATTAAATCCCTGTGTTTGCAGACGGGGCCGAAGCATAGATTTTTCAAGCACACAAGCAAACAGATGATTCATAGTGCAGTGAAGTTCAGAATTACTGACTAGATTAAACCTCTTTTGGTAAGAGCTCTACATAAGGGTATTGTATACATTCCACTGTTATTAAGAGGCACATAATGTCAGTTTATGTCATTTTTGGTGATATTAAGTGTAATCACTTGGTCAAAGTGTATCTGCTAGATCTCTTCATTGTGATGGTGCCTTTTCTATTCATAAGTAATCTATGAGGTGTGTATTGTGTCCTTTTAAATGGTACATAGTATGTTGTATGGCTGTATAAGTAGCTCAGTTCCCTTTTAATGGGTATATAGATTCTTAAAAAAATTTGTTCTGCTGTTTATATACAACAATGCCAAGAACATCCATATGCAGAGTTGGTAGCATAGCTGTCTGGTTATTTCATTAGGATAAATTTAGAGAGGAAAACTTATTAGCTCCAAAACTATACAATGAAAAATTTATTATACATTGCTACTTACTCGCTTCCTCTGTCTTCGCCGTATCTTCTCTCCCCCTCCCCAAAATACACAATAATTTATAGTCCATTAGCCTATTACCCCATGTGTTGCCAATGACTTGATAGCCAAAATGATACCTTAGTGTTTTAATGTCTTTTTCTCGCTTTTTCATATATTTGTTTGTAATTGTGAGTTGAATGTAGAGGTTGAGATCCGTAGTACTTATAACCAGGCATACCTCTTAGTCTTCAGGCCACTCGTGTGGGAGTTGTGAATCAAGTCAGGATTTGGTTATTACTGTAGCTGAGCGTCCATGCACCACAAACTTCACATTCCTCTAGCAGACAGTGCTTAGTGTGGGGCTTGGGGTGCCGGCGGGTCTTTCCTCAGGGTCCATCTTCTCTCAGCTTTCATCCAGCCCTGTGCCCCTGGGACAGAGGAGGGGTCTCTCCCCACTTGAACCCCCTCTGCAGCAGCAGGCTGCTCTTGCTTGTTATTCCCTGCACAGCTTGGGTGGGGTTAGGGTTCTGTCGGTGTGGTTGGGTGTGAGGTGGGCCCTGTTAATCCTGGGCTGTGGAGCTGGGGCCTGGTCAGCATTCCTGCAGCGCACTCTGTGGCAGCCAGCCCCACCTGGAGTCTGTAAGGGATCTTGGTAGGAAAGAGCTTCCTGCTTTTCCCACGGTGGTGGCAGACCTGTGCTTATGTCAGTGTAGGATCTGGGGCTGAATGGATTTTCTGCTCTTTCCCCGGGGACGGTCTGCTGTTGCTTTTTACCAGGTGTAAGTCTTGTGGTGTGGAAGCAGGGGTGGGGCTTTAATGCCCCAGCCCCAGCACTTGGTCTTTGCCCCTCTCTCAGCACTTTCAGACTTTTACTTCATATAGATATGGGTCTGGGAAGTGAGTGAGGTTTCATATCTGCACCAAGGAGTCTCTCTCAGATCTTCTGCCTTGCCTCCTACTTTTTTCTCCAGGACCCCCAGTGGAGGCCTAGGGAAGAGAACTCAGAGTGAATGTGAGCTAACGGAGTGTCCACCAATCCTAGGGATTCTGAACTGTCACGCAGGCCTACGCTTGCCCTTTAAGAATTTGTATAGCTGTTTTCTTGCTACCCATGTTCTTGGCAGCTGTCCTCTTCCATCTGTGCTCTGCCAGGAGTAAAGTCGTTCACATGTCCTGTCTTTTCAGAGGGGTTTGTCACTCTGGAATTCAGTCAGTGGTGGGCTGGCTCATGAGATCTGGTTGCCCATCTCTTCCCAACTCCCAAGTTTAGCAACAGAACATTGGTAGCTTGAAATTGGCCACGGTGGGAGTATTTACACCACAGAAACTGGCGATTGCTTCAAATCAGCACCCTCTCTTCCCCCCGAGAACCAATTATTAAACATAAACCAGTACACCATTGAATCAGTTCACCAGGTCGCCTTGTGACGTGTGCTGCCTAGGCTCAAGAAAAAGAACGTAGGTTATCTGGCTTTTTCTGGTTAGTGTGGAAGCAGGGCTCGCTTGAGTTTTCTACGTATAAAGCAGAAGTGGAACTCAGTATTTGCTTTTGTTTGTTTTGATAACTAGTGAGGTAGAACAGTGTACTCAAGTTCATTAGCCATTGGAATGCCTTCTTTATGGTGGTAATGTTGAAAAGCGAACCAAGTAGTGGATCGCAGTTACCATTTGGAAGACGAGGGTCTCAAGAGAGATCAGGACAATCCGTGGGATAAGAAGACAAGGAAAGCGGATCCTCTGCAAATAAAGTAGAATTCCCAAGTGAGTCTAATATCAGCAGTGTATGAGAGGGCTTTAGCAGGAAAAATCAGAACCTTGTCAACTGTAAAATCTTTTGTTATGGGGCCCTAGAGGGAATAATTGACCTGGACCCGAACCATAGGGTGAGTCCCTAGGGTCTGCATCCCGGGCACACACCCCCCCCCCCCCCCCCACTGTGTACAGCACTGCAGCAGGGGAGGAAGTGCACGAGCTGTTGAAACTAATTGCTTTTCCATAATGCCTGATGGGCCCTCAGGCAGGATTCTGTAAATGGGTGAATGTGGGACATCTGCCGTGGAGTTAGCACGTCTGCAGAGTGGCAAGAAAAGACCAATGCAAATGCCTTTACAGTCTATGCGGTTTATTTTACGTATTGGGTCCAACCTCACTGCCATTACAGAACATTCTGTTTTGCCTGATTATAATAAGGATAATGTTAAGTTGTAACTGTTTACTTTTAAAAATTTCTGTGACAGATCTTTACTCCTAGCCTTTTGTTCTTCCCCATCCTACCTCGGAACATCCAGAGTAGGCTCAAGAAATGCAAATTTATTTTATCACTATCTTAAGCCAAACATTAGGAATTCAAATTAAAATAACCTTTGGTCTGTTGGATGGTGGGCCATTATCTTCCTCCTTGAGCATGGAGCGGAGCGTGAGCTACGCGCCTGTGGAACTCTCTTCGGTAGCTTTTGCATAAATTTTCTCCAGTAGATATAGCCTCTCTTTCCCCTTCTAATAGGTATACCATAAAAGGGATCAGGAACCTGATTTTCTATGAACTGCCAACATATCCCCACTTCTACAGTGAAGTCTGTAACATGCTGAAAGCCACCAGCAGAGGGGAGGAAGCCACCTGGACTTGCACTGTCCTCTACTCCAAGTTCGATGCCCAGAGGTTGGCTGCTGTGGTTGGCGTGGAGCGGGCCGCGCAGATGCTTCAGTCCAGGAAGAACGTCCACCTCTTTATTACTGGAGAAAGATGAGAACTTCTTGGACAGGAATTGGTATTGGCCTGACACATAATGCTTGCTTCTGTGCCACTTGGACCCAATTCTGATCACTTATGCAAGAGAAGGACTACTACAGGAAGGAGCACCAGGCAGCATCATACCAGACTCTTCTTTCTTTTCAGGTCATGCGTCCCTGAAAAGTTCAGTGTAAACCAAATTTTGGGCATATCTTTCAGATCAGAAGGGGCCTCATAGAACTGTGAGAAGCTGGTAGAAGGAAAAAATTCTCCTTGTGAAACTTTTTGTAAGCCATAAATTCTTCTATTGTTATTTTATTCTCTAATTTATTACACTTGGTAAATTCTTTCAGATTTGCCTGTTTCTGTTTGATGCCTTCTTAAAGTAAGGCATGTGTGTCGTTGCTTGTGCGAACTGGTTGTGAGAAATTGGGATACTTCTTGCTGCTGAATATTATCTTAATTTTGGATCACACATGTTTTGCAAAACTATTATTTTTCCCCAGCCAAACTTTTTTAAAATCTTAAATATTCTATTTTAATTCAACCCAGAAGAATATATTCACTGATTTTTTAAACTCACAAAGGTAAATGTTTTAAAATATACGCTTAAAATCATGTTATTTAAAATAACATTAATGTTTACTCTGTTTCAAGAAATAATTTTTGTGAAACTCTTGGTGTTGTGACATCTGTCTTCATGTCACTGTCTTCATTATTATGGTGGACCTTTTTTAAGTCCTACAACAGATAAAAATGAAAAGGAAGTGCACTTCTAAAAACATTTTTATTTTTAAATATTCCCAGAAAAATTGCAAGTACTGAGCCTTAACCATTTGATGACAAGTTGCTGACTTGATAGGCCTGTCATTCGGAAAAATTACCCCTGAGTTTAGTGTGTATTTCCTGTAAACAAGGAATTTTTCCGTGTAGCCAGGAAAGAACTAGCAAATCAGGAAATCGCCATTAATATTTATTATTTTTTTTTTTTTACAAATAGTTTATTGTGAAATTAGTTTCCACATAACACTCAGTGCTCATCCCCACAAATACTTATTGCCATCTAATCCTTGACCACCATTCAGGTTTTGCCAACTAGCCCAGTAATGTCCTTTATAGCAAAAGGATACAGTTCAGAATTACGTGTTGCCTTTAATTGTCGAATCTCTGTTGTGTCCTTTATTTTGGAAGAGTACCCCAGCTTTTTGCTGGCTTTCTTGACCTTGACATTTTTGAAGATTACGGGGTGGTGGTTATTCTGGATAATGTTTCCCTTTGATTAGGTTTAGTTGATGCACCGTTGGCAGGAACCCTGAAGCGCTGCTGTGCCCTCACCACGTCTCACCAGGTGGCACACGGTGTGCACGTGCCCCGTCAGGGATGATGCTAACTGACCACTTGGTTTTCTTTTGTCTTTTTTAAATTGTTTTTTAAAAACTTTATTTTTAAGTAACGTCTACATCCAGTGTGGGGCTCAAACCTACAACCCCAATATCAAGAGGCGCACACTCTACTGAGAGTGAAAGTAGAACTATTCATTCCACATACAGATGAGTTCCTAAAGTTCTGAAAATTGAGGTGATGGTTGTAAGCCACCCAAACCCATGCTGCAAAGACCCTTTTATATGCACTGAGTGTCCTGTTTGTTATTGGCGGATCTGTGCTGCTGTTCATCACAGAGCGTGTATAAGAATAGAAATGAGTTCACTTGCCTGGTTCAGAGTTAGGAGGAAGAAGGGGATCTGGTTGCCCTCTTCTGTTTCCATGTTCATTACGCTGCAGGGTAGCCAAGCTCATGGCTTTCATTATTGCTGTTTATGAGACCCCCAGATCTGCCACTTCTCTGGTCCTGTATGCACGTGTGAGCCTGGATTTTAAGTCCATGATACAGCCCCCGGAATCTGCATTTTATTAAGCATCCCTGGTGATTTTACTGCTGGCTTCTAGCCAGCCAACTGCTTCTCCCCTGTGAGAACACGGAGGATTTCAGGTGTGAACCGAGCACTCTTTTGTTCCTGGCTCAGTCGCTGGGAAAGAAGGTAAGCCTCAGCAGCTGGCCCTGGCTCCTGAGTTCATTGCGAAAGATTGAGTCTCTGGAATGGTTAAGGATGCCTTAACATCAGGTCTCTCACATACACCAAATAAAGGAAAGAAGAGCGTTTATTGGACTATGGATGATAATGCCTGAGCTGGAATTATATACTATTTTGCTATTTCTTAGCAAGGCTCATTTGCAGCAGGCAAGCGCCTTCACATATGTGCCTATAGAAAATAGGCAAAAGAATGGTCCTAATCCTGGGAAGAGGTGGAATTATAAGGTAGGAAAAGGAAGTTGCCAGAAAATAAGACTTGTAAACTTTTTTTCCCTTCCCCATAGTAGTAACAACTAGCTTGGCAGTTTTCTTTCTGAGGGGAGAAAAGCTTTGAATCATGAATGCTTCGTACAGCTGGCTGCACCATGTGCAATATTCACAAAACAAGAACTAGCTAATCATAGAGAACCAGCAGCTAAACAGCCCTCTGCTGGCTTCCAAAGGGCTTATAATTGGTGCAGATGGCCCCAGCAGGATGAAGAGCATATCCCTGCTGACTCCTTGCACCCCAGAGGGCCGGCGGGGGGCGGGTGGGGGGGGCCGGGGCGGCTCATGAAGGCTCTTGGCCCTGATTGTGCCCTCGTGGAAATGAGGATCCAGGCGGCTGAGAAGGAGGGGTTAGGCAGGTGGTGTGGGAACCCGCCGGCCGCCTTCTGCACAGCCTTCCCAAGGCCACATGAGCAGATCTTCAGGCCGCAGAGTTTAGATTTGATGAGTCGAAGGCCTCAAGATGACAGAAGGCCTGGGGTGAGGGAACAGGAGTTGGAAGTTCTTTGTAATCATCTGAAGAGTCTCATTGTGCAACCAGCAGGTGGCTGTGAGGTGCCTGCAGCTCGCCGAAGAGGAATGTAATGGAAACGCATCGACTTCACCTTTCCAGGAGCATCCTCCGAGCAGCTAGCGGCACGGCCTTCACAGCTGGCCTGTCTGCTCCTTCCGCCCCCGTCCTTCCAATCTCTTCCCCAATTTTTCCGTCTTTGAAGGACTTATGGTAGTGGCTTTTATTACCAGTGTTCCTACTCCAGACTTGTTATTTTAAAAAGCTTTTCTGGAAGCCTAGCTTAAATAGAATTCTAAACAAATTTCAGTCAGCTTTTAATTAGAGTGAATTGGTGAATTGGGAGCAGATACACAGGTAACCCAAAATTGACGTAGTCTGGAAGGCGAAAGACGGGAGAGCTCTCTCCTTCCCTCTGGGCCTATCCACTCCTTCCCTGGTGAGCCCCACCACGTTCAGCTGACAGGAAAGTTGTATTTCTTTCTAAAAACTTGTGGCCCTTCCCCCTATACCATATGCTCTCATCAGAGTTGCAATAAAATTCTGTGCATTTTACATCCTGTTTCTGCAAATGAACACGAATTTCTAAACCCTTGTCAGGCTTGCCTTCCATCGCCCTGCTCTGAGGCCTTTGCTTTCTTCAGTCAGATGTGGGAAGAGGTCAGCTCTGGCCACATTGCATGCATTTTGGTGTAGTTCCTGGGTTCCCTTTACCTCTCTGGCCACATTGCCATTATTTCTGTGGGAGGTGAGGGCATGAGAAAGAACAGAGCTCCAGGCCTTGATGAGATAGGCTGGCCGTTCTCAGCAGTTAGGGTGCTGTGTTCCCCAGCGGAGTCAGGGCTGGCTCACCCCATGTAGAGAAATCTGCCCACCCCTAGTGGGCAGCTCTACCCACTGTCCCCTCACTGTTGGGACAAACCACTGCACTTGCTTGTCCTCCTGACAGCCCATCACATCAGGTGAAGGATGGCACGTCCCTAGGCCGCTCCTGGCCTTCAGTCTCGGGCCTCTGCAGCTGGCTGTGACCAGGTGGGAATGCGCTCGGCTGGCTGGCAAGGAAGGCATTCTGCCGCTTGGCTGATTTGGAAGCCGCACTGAATCCCTGCCCATCTGTTCTCCCAGCTGAGCTGGGGCCAGCCCAGGGAATGACATGTAGACTGGTGTCCTGCGGCCCGTCTCATGCCAGGGTGGTTCCCTGCAGAGAGACGGTCCTGGGCCCACAGCTGGTGTTTGCCTGCAGACGTTCATGGGTTCCTGCTTTTTACGTTCTCCATCGTTTTTCAAAGCCGGCCCTGAGCTGGGTAATGAGACTGTGCTTGGGTCCTGCCACCCCTTCTCATCCTTCTCATCTTTGTGAAGTTGGGAAGAATCGGGACCCAAGAGGACGTGGAAGAGGCTGCTGTTTGCCCTGTAGTCACCTCCTATTTCCTACTAACAGGACCCTGAATTTTATTGTTCTGCCCAGCTAAAACTACATTTCCCAGCCACCCCTTATAGGTGTGGCTGGGGAAATGAGCCCTAACCATTGCTCGTTTAAGGAGCCCTCTTTAAGCCTGAGAGGAGCACCCCTTTTTCCTTCCTAGAACACCCAAGTGACGGCTGATGCTCTTGGCGGCAGCTCTGTACAGAAGGTGGCGGAGCCTGGTTCTCTGATCACATTCTGAAGGTGCCATACCAGTCCTACGTGGTCTACCTTTGCACCTCCAGGTGAAAGCCTAAATCCCTAATTTGTCTAAGCCACTGAGGCCAGGCCTCTATTATTAGTGCCTCCTAACTGATACAGAGGTCAAAAAATGGAATCACAGAGTCCTGAAGTCCAAAGACTTTGCCTCTTCTTTCTTCTGTTTCTCCACAGGATCCACCATAGGGACTGTACTTCAGGGTGGATGCCTGGCCACTTGATGACTGGGGAGTGAGCTCTGAGGTGCCTCTGACTTTGTACTATCACTGCCATCACCTCCTGCCCATGCTAGATCCAGAAATATGAGGGAGGACAAGTGTCTTCTCCTAGGATTTAATGGAAACTGATAGTAGCAGAAAAATCATTGGCAAGAAAGCAGATTTCAAGTCTCTGAAAGCTGATGACCACCTGCCCTTTATCTGTTCTGTGTTTCGAGGCACAATTAGGAAATGGACTAGGATCTCCAGTTCGGTAGGACCTCAGAGGTCTTGTGATCCAATCTGCCACTTGACCCATGCGTCATCTGTAGATCATCTCTGAGAGGTGGTCTTCAGCCTCTACACTTTTCTACTCAGCTCTGATTAGAAAGCAGAAGCCTTTGTGAAGCTTCCATCTGTTAGCCCTCATTCAGTTTCTGAGGTGAGGCAGTACAAGCCTATCTTCCACTTTAATCCTCAGCTATTTAAAGACATCTACCATGTCCTTTTGAGACTTCTTAGTTCCAAGCCAACTATTTTTGGTTCCTTCAATGATTTTTTTTCTGAGTTTTTTACTTTTGGTCTTAAAAAACAACCCTT